CTTCACAGCACCCCGGCGGACCTGTCGATGCCACAAGCTCACAAATCTGAGCTTGATAGGTTACGACTGTGTCAGCGTTCACTGTTCCACTGATCTGAGCGCCTTTCATCTCCACAATCCACAATTTCTCTGCATGTTAATGTGTTTATGCACGCAGCGAAGGCAGGGATGCACGTGGCAAAGCATGTGCGTGCGCCTAATGTGAAAAAGTGTGTATAGACGTATTGTGTATATGTGTGTGTGTGTTAATAAGTGCCTGCACCCATGGCTCAGTGGTTTTGCTCATTATCCTCCTCTCCTTTTCTTCTATTGAAAGACTGTCGGTATTATTTTGCTTCTTGTTTTTAGCACATCTTCCTCCTTCCTGCTATTTATTGCTAATCTTTATCACCATCACCACCATTTCCTTTAACAGATACACTGTTTATCTCCCTTTTTCCACACACAGTACACCTCATAACACAGACGTGTGCGCTAGGATCGGGAGAACGAATCAAAGCTTTTCAAAAATAAAACAGCGACTCTGCAGAGCTCCTTACTGGGACTAAACCTTGCTCGTAAACTCTTGGGATGATTGTAAAACCATCTACAGTCCCTGCTTGATCGTTTTCAGAGCACGGCTGCTGCTGCTGGGGAGTGCTGCACTACTCCTTCGTTTAAGGAGAAAACAAGAAATATATAAAACAAACAGATCAACCCTAGCTCCGGAGGGCTAGTCAGACGTGCCTGACCAGCCGAACGATCAATATGTTCAAGCATTTATGCGCAACAGCCCTGTGGTTGCAATTACAATTCCATAAAATCTCCACCAAAATGCCCGCTGTTAATAGATTCGGGTCTTCAGCTGGGTGTTTAAGAGAGGGCAGATCAGGCTTTTGGCTGGCTGAGAGTCAGGGATTGTGATGATGACTGCATAATTACATACCTGCACGACTCTCCTGCTGCTTGTACATTCCTCTCTTCCACCTCCACCCTTCTTAATGTTGTAACTCTTTACACATTGGTTTCTTTCTCCCTTCAGGAGAAAAATCTCAGGAGTTAATGAGGTAAGTCTAGAGTTTCGTTTGTGGGAGCGTTATGTGTTAAATTCATCAGAGTCGGGGGGGCACCCTCCCGCTGCCATATAATCAAAAGCTACAGCCCCTTTCTTTTTTCTTTTCCTGCCCATAAAGGGTTTTTCACAGGCTTTTGCACTCGTTTTGCTGTCAGAAATGTTCCTCATTGAATTTGTGGATTCAATTAAATCAGGAGTTTTCCCAATCTGGTCAACCTTTAGAAAGAGGGCAGCTTAACAAGGGCTAGTCTGTTAGCGGTTTGAGAGGCATCCAATCCAAACAAAGCAGTGGTCAAATAAATTGTTTTCCAGAGTCGTGAGTATGCACGTGTGTGAGTACCAACATGTTTCTCTCAGTAGGATGCAGCTTTTATCCTTTTCCTCGAAATACAATTATTTACGGGTTACAGAGTTGGCTGCGCTTTTGGTTCAGTAATTGATATTCTCATTTTAGGTGCAAAGCCAAAAGCAAACCGTGGAGAGCCATAATAAATATTCACAAACATGTCACAGGCGATAAATTGGAGTAGAGGTGCGCATAGCATTAGTCTAACTATCTGCCCCGAGGGCTCATATCTCTCATTCCCAAATCATGAAGCAGGCAATTTCAACTTAATCTCTCTCACATGCTACATCCATACATCACATCAGGGCTACGTATGTGGCTCTGCTATCGCCCACCACCTGAAAACACATGCCAATTTGTTTTCATGTTAACTCCCTCAGCATTTAAGTGTTGGAGCCTTCTTGATACACATTTCTGAAGGTTTAACGGAATGATTAAACCATCAGGGCTCATGTCGGGGCAGCACGCCATCTGGGTGGCTGATTGAAATTACCCCTCGCCCCGTTCGCTCAGTCCCCCGCCTGCTCTGTTCATTTACAGGCTGCCGTTAATGATATATCCCTGCTGCGATACGGGGCCAAGGCCTCGCAGGTGGACACGCCATCAGGACACATCCTGAGCTGAACGATCGCTCAGAATCACAGCGTCTGTCAGCTGATCAGCACCGGAGTGTTTAAGGTGATCAATACTGAGGAGCTGCAACGTGGAAGGAAGAGGCGAGGAGAGATGGAAGGGAATCAGAGGCTGAGAGAAGTGAAACATGTGTGTGTGGGAGAGTCAACTTAAATGAAGTTAAAGGGGCCTTATTATGCACATTTTCAGGTTCATATTTGTACTTTGTGTGTCTACTGTGATATGTTTACTTGCTTTAATGTTAATGCTGCAGCACCTCTTTTCACCCCCTGTCTGAAACCAGAGCCCGGTCTGCTCTGATTGGTTAGCTGGCCGGCTCTGTTGTGATTGGATAAGCACTTACAGATGTCCTACCCCTTAGCCAAATCAAATACAATATGTTGGAGTACTAGCCAATAGAAGCGCAAGCGTTACATAGTCATGTCACTATGTCACTGAAGTAAACAAAGGAGTCCAATGGAGGTGTTTCAGGCAGGGGGGGGGTGTGTGTGAGAGAAACACCCTTTGGAGGAAACTTTGACATTTTAGCCTTTGGAGACCATTTACATGCACACAAACCAATAGAACGCACCACAGGAAAGGGACATCACTAAAAGCATAATAGGGCCTCTTTAATGTCGGTGATAATCCTTCATTGCAGGAGAACTGCGTGTGCTCACAAGGTCAACAATTATAACATGAAAGGTTAATCAGGAAGTTAATCAGGAAGTTAATTTGGGAACTTGATGTTCCGATGGACAGGAAATAAATGTAATGTTTGCATTTGTCTTTTCGAAACACAAATGTTTATCCTTATAGAGTGGCGAAGTCCCTCCCCTTCCGGGGGACCTCCATGGGGCCTTATTTCGGAAAAATCATGTATTGAAGTCAATGGAGAGAGAAAGATTATCTTTTGAATTGTGCAACGAATTACACATATGATGTTTGTCAATTTAAAAGATAATTTTGCAAGTCAAAAAAATTAAAATGTGTCGTAAAACTGTGAAGTAACACCTTTTTTTGTGTGAACCGCTCAATGAACTACAACTCTGGCCTTGCATACGTCACCAACACCAAGATGGCCGTCACGTTAGCACATTTCACCTCTTTCTTTCAGAATGAGGCGAAAAGTATTAAAAGAGGTGAAAATCACTACAAGTCTGGGCATGTTGAGAGCTGTACATTCACACAAGGGGAGTTAGTCGGTTCCGCGAGAGCCAGAATGCGGGACCGGCTTTACAAGGTTTCGGTGAGTAACACGAGTGTAATGTGTAACGTTAATGACATCACTTACGCGACTCTGGGATTTGTAGTCTTTCTAGTTGCGTATTTTTCATAGTCTTATATTTCAACAGTTTTACGACAAACTGTGACTTTTTTTACATGGAAATTATTTTTTAAGATTGACAAACATCATATGTGTCATTTGTGGCACAATTCAAACGGGATCGAAAGATAATCTTTCTCTCCCCCATTGACTTCAATACATAGTTTTTCAGAAATAAGGTCCCATGGGGCGGAAGTGGCGTGACTTCGCCTCTCTATTGTCGCCCGAGGTTAGGGGCTCTTTCCGGAAATAGTGGTTACTGATTGCAGCTTTGCTGCCTGTGAATGTCTATGACGTGACGGAGTCCTTGGCCAAGTCAATATATATATTTTGCTCTCTTATAATAAATAGTTAAACTTAGAAAATTGTCCGTCTTTCCTGGAATTTTGAACACACCAGTTTGTGACTTGTTAACAGCGGTATAGATTAAACCCCCCCTCGCTAAAATAAATATCAGCCTGCACATTTTCAACTCAGCCGTTAGATTACAGTCACAGTGTATTATTTGGATATATGTGCTTTGTTCTGCATATTAGTGAGGGAATTAATGAAAGGACAGTGAGGTCAAATCATGGACCATATTGCCCTCTTCTGTTTAAACGATGCAACATGTCATGCATACACAGTAGAGAGCAGTCTGTGCTACCTTTTTATTAGCAAGCCTTTGATTACTAATAAGCTATATTAATAGGCTTGTGTTATTTTCATTTTGTGTGAAAATTAATAAATATTGCAATTGAGAAAAAATAGCTCTTACTGTAGAGAAATATTTAGTAATTAAGGTCTGCATTTTTAAACAAAGTTTAGATATAAAAAAGCTGACTGAATCCTATATTTTATATATCCAATATTTTTTATGTATAAATCCTAATCATGGGTAGCCTTTTACATTATGCAGAGTGCAGTGGCAACACCAGCTTTTCTTTTTTTAATACAGAACATTGTTTTATTGACGTTTCACATCCAAAGTTAAGTTAAGTTAAACAAAACACACTATGTTACTTATTACACGATATACTGCAATTCGTTCAATTGATCTGTGTTTCCATGAGGCTTTTCTTTGCCACATATGAGTTTCTGGAAAAGCAGGACTGGATTACCAGGGGGAGTATACATGTGTCCTTAAGATACAATTTTTCTCATTTTGCAAAAAGCATGACAGAGAATGGTAAATGGGGTTTAGACAGGGTATGGCTGGTCTATACTTTTACCTGTAATCATATATCGTGAATTACTCATTTTAATTTAATTATGAACATACCTTAAACAAAGCATTACCTCCGCATGTCTCGGCTGGACGAATGACCCGAAACGGAGTACTTTGCTCGGACTGGATTTGAACACACCATGTGACCTCATCCACTTGACACACCGTGCTTTACATGCATGTTGAATTTAACACATTTTCAACACACACAATCCCAATATCTCAATACTATTAAACACAAATGTTAAGGGTATCAAAAAGCTTTGACACGTGATATCATTAATTGACACTGAGGCCTATTGTGGAAATGAGACCTGTCTCTTAGTGTTTTTTAAAAGTTGCACTGTAACTTTAAAACATGGTTGTCCCGCCCACTTTGTATGTACCTCTTCGGGCTCCGGTTAAAACATCACTGTGATTGGCTGAGGGTAGCCGTCAACCAAAGAAGGCTCTGTGTTTCATTGGTGAGAGACTAGTCGTCGTCTCTGACTCTCGCGGTACTGCTGCACGAAGATGGCGGCCGAACTGGTGGAAACGATGGCAAGTAGAGCTGGTTTAGCTTTGTTTTAATGGGAAGGAGGCACAGGAGTGTTGCTTTAAAACTCATCCCGGCTGGGGGAAACTTGGGGCTTTGTGTCAATGTAATTAAGAGCCTATACTCCTAGAAAATGTGGCGTATTACATTCACGGCAAAATGAACTAGCTTCTGTTGCTAATGTAGCTAGCCTGCTAGGTTATGTTAACCAGGCAAGTGCGTTGGTTTGGCTAGCATCACGCTGGCTCTGAAGGGAAGAAATTAATGATCTGACCATAAAAACACTGGAGTGGGGTTGCTGCCAGTATTTTCCCCTGCTCGTTGATATTTGACGTTATTAGGCTTGATGTCTGTATGTATGTAACCGGTTAGTTTAGGAAGATGTGCACCTGTCAAAATGTCCAGTTGCCATGATTGAATACCGACAGCCCAGTCTATAGAGAAGCTAGCTGGCCGATTAGCACAGGCTATATTGTTCAAGTGAGGCTATAGAAATGGCAACCCTTATGGCTGCATACAACACGTCCATAAGATGCCTCATGGACAGCCGCGTTTTTGTACAAATGTAATCAAGACACAAAGCACTTCTGCCACTGATGCACAGCAAAACAATGTCGGAGAAAGCTAAAGCATGTTACATTGCTCAGGTTTTTTTCTTACCACAATACAAAAAAACATCCTTCCGCATGCAGGCGGTTTTGTTATGTCTAGTCCAGTTTTAAGATAACCGACGCCACTTATTTTGTAAACACTGTACTTGTTAGTGTTGCTAATCGAAACATGGACAAATCGTGCCGACTAAACTATGTGTTTATGTTTTGATTGCTTTTATATATGCTTTCTTTCATCGAGGTGTAAACATGGGCTTGTGATTTTTTTGAATTTAACATAAACAGTCGATGACTTAACAGTAAATCTGATTTTATTGACTAACATCGTGTCCATCATTTATGGATCATATTGAAATATAAGTGCATTTTGTGTAATTATTTTAGATGTATCGATTTATATCCTCAAACTTAACAGCAATCTGAGGTGGTCATGCCTTTTACTTTTCAGGCTTATACTATTGCTTTGTTGTCAGTGTAGTTTTTGCCTCTGTGCTTTACATTTAATACGGTGAAATGCAGATGTGCAGTCATACATTTTAAATGCTTAAATATTTTTAAATAATGTTGAAATGAAAATATATTGTGATACAAGTGGTCAGAACAAGAAGGCAGGTTCAAACCTCTGTTGGATTAAAGTGACTAAGGGCAAGCTAATTTTAGCGGATATCTTAATGTTTGAGACTTGTAAATAATGATGTGTAGAGCCGGTCATGGTTAAAAAATAGGAGATGTGATTAGACAGGATTTTCCACAAAGAATTTCAGTATTTCATTTTGACAATAATAGATAGTCAAACACTACACTCGGAAAAACTTAAAATTTGTGAAGAAGTCAGAAGTAGAAGAACCCAAATATGTTAGCACTGTTCTATCTAGTGAATGGTTTTGAAATATCAATTTTATACACTAAGTATCAATGCACCTTGTATTGTGACCTAACTTTTAAAATGGGTCTGGACTTGTACGTTTATGGTGTTGTCCCTCAAACATCACCAATTTACAGACTTCATTGTCCCTCTATGGTGTTTCTCATGTTTTGTTTGTCTTGTCTTCCTTCTAGAACATGGTCAAAAGTTTCCGGGTCTCCGACCTGCAGACGCTACTGGCCTCGATGGGCCGCAGCAAAAGTGGGCTGAAACAGGACCTGGTAGGGCGAGCGCTGAGGCTCGTGCAGACCGAATACAGCCCCGAGCTCCTGAAGAATGTTAGGCAGCTCTACGAGTCGCGCTTCCCCAGAACATCCGGCTGGCTTGCGGCGAGGCGTCCAGAGGGCGTTCCAGTTGCATACTCGTCTCTAAGCTCCTCCCCCACTGCCACCTCTCAGGGCGCAGACTACCTCAACGGCGTTTCCAAACAGATAACCACCACACCTGCAGCAGAGGTCAAGCTGGTGCCTCTGCCCTTCTACCAAACTTTGGAGACACTGTTGCAACCAACAGAGCTAAGTTCGTAAACAGTTTGATCTTTCTTTATTCTTGTATTGAAATACATTTTTTGTATTTTATATATAGTACGAATGTTATGTTTGCATGTCTTGCAGTTTTTGTGATTAATTTGCTATAATAATATTTACAGTTGCCCAGAACAATGAGAAACTGCAGGACAGTCAATGCATATTTGAGTTGACACCAAACCAAGCGGACCAGATCAGAAACGCAACGTAAGAAAACCTTTCTCCCCTGAACTTTATTTTTACCATCAGCTCTATTTATAAACTCTGTAACTAATGCTCAATTTAATTTGTCACTTTTATACTTTCTTAGGGAGCTTCGTCCAGGAATCAGATCAATCCAAGTGGTTCTTAGGTAAGTCCCCACTTATTCCCTTTTGAATATATATAATATGAGGTCCTCCCAAGGATGCTCAATGAAGAAATTGTTATATGATACTTGGGCAAACAGCATTGGAAATGTCCCTTTTTTTTATATCCTTTTGTTACAGAATCTGTTACACAGACTCCATCGGTGTCCAAGAGGACCAGTATCCTCCCAACATTGCTGTCAAAGTCAACCAGTCCTACTGTCACGTGCCGGTGAGTTGATTGATTCATGAGACATGCCACACATTCAGTGTACAAATCTGACTCGAGCTTGGCTGTTCTTCGGATCCTGTTAAATAGTTTCTCTGACATTCATTTTAAATATAGTTAGTGAGTCACTAGTTTGGGTGTCTGCTCACGGCCAAGCTGGTCTCATGACGTATTGTAGGGATGAATTAATCCACCCTTATGGAGGCAAGGAAAAGTAGTATCCAGGTACAGATATTGTTGGATAGCCAGCATTAAGTAAGAAACTCTCCTTCTGGCAGTCTTAGTGTTGGAGTTGGAATATGGAAAAGCTAAAACCTCCGAAACAAGTGTTTGCTGAGTCATTCTTGTGTTCACAAAGTGTATCCACAGGAATTCAAACTGGAAGGACAACTTTCAAATGTTTTGAAAAAAACAAGAAAATGCAAATTTTTGTGCTTTTGCATTTTAACTGTTGGTTGCAACATAATAACTCGAGTCTTAAGTGTTGTGCTTTTAAGCCAAATGTAGTATCAGTGACAGATTTGTTTATTACATTTAGGCAACAACAAAGATATGTCAATAGACAGATATGATATGAATTGTGTTTTATACAATATGTTTTTGTAATGAACCCCCTAAAGTTTGCTAAACAGCAAAAACAAAATGGTTATATGCTTGCCATTTAAGACAGCAATAGCAAGGTGATTGAAGAAGTGTGCCGAACAAGATGGAATATTGCAGTAAAATTTGATGATTAATATTGGATATAAACCATACTTAGAATTAATTGGAGAGCCTTCTTGGCTGCTATGCATTAGATAAACATTAATCATTTAGAGAATCGCATACAGGGAAGAATACAACAACACTGTAGAATGACTGTTCTGTAACATTTATTTGCAACAAGTACCCCAAAGTAACGTGATTACAATAATATTTGAATAATGATTTGGTATTTGTCTGTGTTTTCAGGGCTACTACCCCTCTAATAAGCCCGGCGTTGAGCCCCGTCGCCCTTGTCGTCCTGTAAACATCACTCCCTGGTTGCATCTCTCCAGCATCACCAACAGAGTCACCGTCACCTGGGGAAACTTTGGCAAGGTCAGAGTTTACTGCTGAATCTTATGTTTTGGTTTATCATTTCAAGCTGGGACAAAACGTTTTTTCTTATTTAATCATGTGTCAAATTTAGGCGTGCATGGTATTATTCAAGAATAAACCTCCCCAGGGCAAAGAGCTACACTACAGCAGGGGTCTGTACTACGAAGCCGGTTCAACCTAACCTGGATATGTTTGAGTTACCCGGTTTACGTAATCCAAAACAAACGCGCTCTCGCTAAACTATCCTACGACGCTGGTTATCAACTCTTTAACTCAAGCCCGCTTTGCCCTATCTAGTTACAGCGCGTTCACATAAAAGGGGTGGTATTTGGAGCATTCGACCAATCACAAACATGGACAAGCGTACTGACAGCGCAGCGCGTCATACTTCCTGAATGAAAAGTCAACTTTAATTACAGATATTAAGACGTTAAACTTTAAGCATCCATGACTTAAACACTTTATCCAGGATAAAAGCCACATAGCTGAATACAGCTGGTAAAAGAAAAAGTGTTTGAATGTGAACATTAACAGGTTTCAATGTCAATCAATCAATCAATGTTTATTTATATAGCCCAATATCACAAATGTTACATTTGTCTCAGTGGACTTCACTAAAGCCCCGAATGCCCAGGCCAGGCGACGCCACTGGCCCTAACTATAAGCTTTATCAAAAAGAAAGGTCTTAAGCGCACTATTAAAAAAAACTGATAGGGTGTCTGCCGCCCGAACACAAACTGGAAGCTGATTCCACGAAAGTGGAGCTTGATAAGATACGGATCTGGCTCCCATTGTACTTTTAAAAACTCTAGGAACAACCCAACAACCCTGCATTCTTGGAAAGCAATGCCCTAGTA